CCTGTATATATTCTTCAGCATTAATGGTGCCTCCCCAGATGTGCAAGCTACCCAAGACATGGGCACTAATGCACCCCCACACCATCACGGAAGCTGGCTTTCGAACTGTCTGCTGAGAACAAGCTGGATGGTCCCTCACCTCTTTAGCCTGGAGGGTGTGGCCTCCATGATTTCTAAAAAGAATCTGAACTTTTGATTCTTCAGGGCACAGGATAGTTTTTCATCCTCCCTCAGTCCATCTTAAATGACCTTGGGCCCAGAAGACGGCGGCGTTTCTGGATCATGCTTAGATCTGGTTTCTTCTTTGCATGGCAGAGTTTCATCCTGCATACATGGATGCAGCGACAACCTGTGTTCACAGACAGTGGTTTTCGGAAGTGTTCCTGAGCCCATGCAGTGATTTCAGCTGTAGAATCATGTCTGAGTGCCGCATGAGGACCTGAACAGCATGGCGATCCAATATTGGTTTTTGGCTTTGTCCCTTGCATAGCGATTTCTCCAGATTTTCTGAATCTTTTAATGTTATTATGTACTGTAGGTAATTAATTCCTAAATTCTCTACAATATTACACTGAGAAACATTATTCTCAAAATACTGCACTATTTATCCATGCAGTCTTTCACAGAGTGCTGAACCTCTCCCCATCTTCACTGCACAGAGTGCTGAACCTCTCCCCATCTTCACTGCACAGAGTGGTGAACCTCTCCCCATCTTCACTTCACAGAGTGCTGAACCTCTCCCCATCTTCACTGCACAGAGACTCTGCCTCTCTGGGAGGCTCTTTTTATACACAATCATCTTACCGACCTGTTGCCAATTAACCTAATTAGTTGTGAGATATTCAACCAGGAGTTTTATGTTAGCATGACACAACTTTTCCAGTCTTTTCTTGCCCCTGTCCCAACTCTTTTGAAATTTGATCCTGGCATCAAATTGAAATTGAGTGTGTATTTGTCATAAAACAACAAAATGTCTCACTTTCGACATTTGATATACTGTTTTTATTCTATTTTCAATGAAATATTGGTTTGTATGATTTACAAATCATTGCATTATGTTTTTGCATTATGTTTTGCTTTACACTTTACACAGCGTCCCAACTTTTTTGGGAACGGGGTTGTATAATCCACAAGCACATTCAGGTCCACGTTTGCGTCTCCGATTCCTCTTTCCCGGAAAACCCTTCTGCTTTTGAGGACACTGGATATCTTTCCTTTTCATTTTCCTTCTTTCGCGTTAAATTTATCTGTATTGATGTTACACGTTTACATACAGAAAAGCGCTGCAGCTGATTGGTGAATAAGTTTTAGATAAGATTTAGCATTGTCAGTGTCCGGGAGCATCCGTTCCGAAATTCAAGCCGGGTCTTCCCATTCGCCGCCAGAGACGGCGGTGGGTTGGGTCTGGATTAGCTGCTGGAGCCCGGCTGGTAGAGGGCTGCTCCTGGAGCACCGCTCCTGCAGGATGCTCTCTGGTGTCTGGAAGCATCAGATGCCGCTGCAGCCCTGCATGGATCACTGAGGCGAACAGGCAGCTCTAATCATGAACCGAGCTTACGTCTCACACACTTTGTTCAGATAGAAAGCATTAAGCGAGCGGGCGTCACCTTCTCTCTCACTTCTGAGGACGGCGAGGTGTCGCTGAACGTCAACCTGCCGGATCGATCTCGTGTAGCAAGTTCTCCTAAGTTCTTGAATCGCTCTCCCGTCCTCGGTCGCGTTTGCGTTCCTTTCTTCAAACAGAGCCCAGGATCACCTGGGCTTCATCAAGGGCTTCCCAAGTTTTTTGAACCCTACGTTGCAGTCCAAAAGCAACGGGTTCATCCAGACTTCGAATCCATCATGTGGAAGGGTGCTGAGACCTCCGACGGCGGGCTTGCTAGATGCTTCCCGGGAACGTGGATCGTGTCCAGCCCGCTTCTTCTGCTGCTTGTCAGCGTAGGAGCAGCCCAAGGTGAGATCACCTACGCTCGGGTGTGAAACGAAATGCAGGTGATCGCTGCTGATACCGTTTGTTTATTCCTCTTTGTTTAAAAGTCACATTGACGAGTTTGTGAATTCATAATGAGCAGCATCTACAATTAATAGACCGCTAAACCGCTGGGTGGTTTAAGTGCATCCAGATCACGCCTTAGTCCACATGGGCGGCAGCACTGCAGCCTCCCATTCAGGTCAGCTCAAACTGCCCCCACTCTGTATTTGAACAGTTTCGGTGTTTTTGTCCCTGTCGTGCTTTTTTCCTCCCGCAGTCCAAAGTCGTGCGGTTAGATGAATTGGCGTTTCTGAATGGCTCATAGTATGTGCAAATGTGCCCTGTGAAGGACTGGCTTTTCCCCAGTCTTATTGTGCCCTATGCAGCCTGGGACAGGCTCCAGTCCCCCGCGACCCTATCTGGGGTAAGCGGCTGAGAGGGGATGATGAGCACATTATTGTAGCTTGAATGGCTGTACGAGCCTGTTTCGCTTGGTGTTATACATGCTGATAGCTATTTAAAACGTCGCCGTCTCAAACAGAACTGAGCGTGGTCTTGTGATACTGACTGTGATCAGGGAAATACGGCTGTGATGGAAATAATGTGGATGTAATAATATGAGTTTACATGCGGCTGATAGAGGAGGGACTGTCCGAGCCTATTTAAAGCCTCGGTGAAGGAGCGATGGGACTCCCAACTGTTCTCTGTCACTGGCAAGGAAATTATGTAACTCCGCATTGTCGGACTATTAGGCCTTATTTTAAATGTCTTTTTGGAATATATACTTTGTGCAACGGACAGTGATATTTGGACTAACTTTTATTTGACGTAGTTAGTGATTTATTTTTTAATTGCGGACCCTAAACGGACATTTAGAAAAACTATTGGAAGGAGGCGCGATACAGTAGGCTGCTTGGGAAAAATGCGATGAAGTAGCTGATTTCGTTAGCGATTACAATGAATGAAAAATTCAAAACTCTTCAAATGAAAGTAAATGATAAAGGACAAACTGATAAATATGTATTACTGGTCGTGGTTTATTTTAAATAAGGGTAATCGTATACATGGTTTAATCTTGGTGGTTTAATCATTATTAAAGTAATAATTTAATTGGTATGGTTATTTAAGACTCATTAACAGTTTGTTGTATTGGCAATATTAGACTGGATTTGGGATTTTTTGGAAACTAATTGTCGCCGTTTTGTTATTCTGACATCATTCTTTTTGATCTTTTAATAAGTGCGCCGGGGTGCCCATCTGCGTTCATGCTGTTTTTATTTTCTTGCCTTAATCTCTGGTTTCAAATATACGAGGTGTCTGCTTCATGTGCCATTTTACATTGTGTAGGAAACAGACGCTCCGAACTTAGGCGGCGTCCTGAATAAAGAACTAATCAGATGTGCTGTGACTTGTGGGAAAAACGATCGCATTTAAATTCAGTCCTACCTACGTTTTATTTTTCGTTTTTGTATGAAATTACAATAACGCTCCTCTGCCATCTCCTGGATTATCGGACCACAGATGGAATATAAAACCCAGAGACAATGAACTTCAAAGGTTACAGTAAATTAGTTTAACGAAAAATAATTTAAAGAATAATAAGTGACATCCGGATTTGCTCCACGAGGCGTTCGGGTGTAAAAAACGCCCAATGATGCCTGTAAGTTTAAAAGGAAACGTAGCAAATGTTTGAATTATAGAAGAAGCGCGCGCGGCATCGTTCGAACCTAGGATTTTATTCAACACTGCAGCGTTCAGATGCTCTCATAACAGTACCTATATTAAATGTCTTTTATTGTATTCATTTTCCATGCTCACATAGTCAATTATTATTATAGTTATTTCGGCGCAGTTAATTAGTGCACGCAATTAACATTTTAATGAATACATTGGTCTGTAGTAGCTGATCCATTTGCGTAAGCTCTGTGCGTACATGCACCAGTGAGCAGACCGGATCTTGGACCGTGGGTCCGGCTGGCCCGGTGAGGCTGGCGTAGCGGGTGCCTGGAACGGCGGTGGAGGGGCTGGCAGGATACGCCGGCCGCCTGCCTGGGAGCACGGCTGCCGTTTTCATTTCCAGGCGCGCAGCACGCTGGCTTCGCTCTTCTGAATATCAGTGGTCTGTAAAATTGTATTCTACATTACGTTTCACTGAAAATAAGTTGTTTTTGTAGATCTAAGTATTGTCCTGCATCTTACTGTAGTCCGAATTGATAACTGAATGTGTTTTAGGAGTTTGATCCTGATTGGTAGCACTCATTCTAATTAGCTGTTACTTTGACAGCCTGGAGGTGCTGCCCCCTGCTGGTTGTTAGTGCGCAGAGCACCCCATCACAGTCTTGGGATCGCAGGCAATTGTGTGACGTGTGCCATAGAGATTGGATATAAAAGCCTTTCGCTGGAGCCAAGGGGTGTTTTAAAGCAGGCGCAGAAAACAGTGTGTGTAGCTGTACCATCTCTCCTGTCAGTTTAAGCGTGTGTCGTCCGGCAAGGGGAGCAGCGGATAACAGGATCAGACATTAGCATGTTTGTGATGTTATGCAGACTGCATTTCATGATACATACAGTGCAGAATGTGCCCCAAAGCACCTGCATCATCACTCACAGCTGTGAAAGCCTGTGTTTGCTGGTGATGTCATCCAGCCGGCCAAACCTGCACTTTCTCTCTGATCCTCCTGCTTGTCTGCGCTCCAGATCGCCCCGTGTGGGCCCGTGTGCAGGGATGGCAGTGACGACTCCGGCGGCTTTGTACCTATCCTTTTTGCTGCCGTTCTCTGCTATAAGAGGATAAACTGGGTCTTTGTTGCACAATTGTGCCAGAATTTTCTAGCTTCTCTGCCGGATAGTCTCGTCGCTTTGCCCCTCTCTTTTCTCCTCCTCCTGACCGGGCTGGTTTTGGCCAAGTAGTCCAGCCTGACTCTCCACTGAGTTCCAGCTGACAGTTTGCTCTGCTCTGCCTACCTTTATATTTCCGGGAGTTTGTATGCATTCTCACAGAGCCTGGCTTCAGGTACTAAAGCACTCACCGTGTAGCTCTGCATGAAGGCAGAGTTCAGGTACTAAAGCACTCACCGTGTAGCTCTGCATGAAGGCAGAGTTCAGGTACTAAAGCACTCACCGTGTAGCTCTGCATGAAGGCAGAGTTCAGGTACT